TAGCACATCAGGGTGCATCCACACATTATTAAAGTTCAAGGGGCTTTAAAGCAGTGCAATCATTTTAAATTTTTATCATTTACTTATTATGCTTCATTAAGTACTTATACAAAATTTTATTAAAATAAAACCATTTAAACTGGGTGTTCGGATTTATATGTCACTTAGTATATTATTAACAACTATCTTCGAAATTGCTTTCTTATCAACTATCGAGATACCTTCTTATGAAATTTTATAACCTACCACGATACCTTCTTCAAGGTATCTCATTTAACCTTCTTTTTAAAAGTTAGGTTTTCTGAGTCATTTACTTTCCTGCGGAGATTGTGGTGTGGGTGTCGTTCCATTAATTTCTAGATTCTGGGTTATTAGAATCCCAAAAACCAATTTATGTAGTAGTACCCTTTTATTTTGTACCTTACGTTTAGTTGTGTTGGTTTGGGTGCTACCCCGTCCATTTTCTAATGGGATTTTAACCTTCAGCGGTAAGTTATTTTTTATATAGCGGCAATTAATGCATGTCCTGAAGAAGTTTGTTCAATATCTGCTTCCTTTTAGTGGAAAGACATTGCGGAGAACCACCTTTCACACTCCTCCAGCTTTGTTTTGTATGATGCAAATTCTGACGTTTTCCAGGAAAGAAGCTAGAATTTGCTTAAGTTCTCTGTATACTTTTTGTGTGCAATAAGATGTCACGTGACAGAATCACGTAACATTTTTTTTACTATTTTGATCACTCACCAGTAATTTAAATTTCTCTTTATTGGTTATAGAGTACCGATTCCTAGGTAAGACCCTGTTCAATGATGTTATTTTGGTAAACTTCATAGTTTATTGATTGTATAATTTCACACGTATTATATCTTTTTTTCTCAGCGACTCAGTATTGTGTTGAAATCTTTTGGACACTGATGTTATAGTATTATTAACAACTATCTTCGAAATTGCTTTCTTATCAACTATCGAGATACCTTGTTTTGAAACTTTATGACCTACCAGGATACCTTCTTCAAGGTCTCTCATTCAACCTTCTTTTAAAAAGTTAGGTTTTCTGAGTCATTTACTTTCCTGCGGAGATTGTGGTGCGGGTGTCGTTCCATTAATTTCTAGATTCTGGGTTATTAGAATCCCAAAAACCAATTTATGGAGTAGTGCCCTTTTATTTTGTACCTTACGTTTAGTTGTGTTGGTTTGGGTGCTACCCCGTCCATTTTCTAATGGGATTTTAACCTTCAGCGGTTAGTTCTTTTTTATATAGCGGCGGACTAAGTCAATTAATGCATGTCCTGAAGAAGTTTGTTCAATATCTGCTTCCTTTTAGTGGAAAGACATTGCTGAGAACCACCATTCACACTCCTCCAGCTTTGTTTTGTAGCTGCATTCTAGCTGTTTCACAGCCGATTTTGTTGGAAGCCCTTCCACTTGTCAAAAAACCCTAGAGAGAGAAAGACTGCTTAAACAATCTACTATCTATCCTCTGTCTGAGACAGAACTACTCATTTAAAACACCTTTTTCCGAGAAAAGTTTCCTCAATATGTTTCCGTGAAATTTCATTTATAGACTTTTTCGAAAATATCTACAGTTCAAGATATTTTGACAATCCACATAGAAATGTTGCAGCCGTCAGGCTGAGTTCCATGTAATTAAATATAGAATTATAATCTAGGCCACAAAACAAATTTAGACAACATGAAATATTATATCTGCATGCTCCATTCAGTAGTAAAGCATAAAATACAACTCCAACGTGCTGCGTCACAAAATTCACCAGCAACATTAGTCTTCAAAAGCAGGCCGGTATCTTTTAAATGTCCTCGCTGCCATGCAGATATATCTCAGTTATGCCTCTGTTTTATTTCAATGATGCAAATAGAATGATAATCTCGTAAAGTGGTGAGACAATAATATCCTCACTTTGAGTTCATCAGTGAATCAGCACAAATTGTTTGAGGTTGTGTAACTTTGTCATGTCATAACAATTGCTCTGCAAATGAGTTGTTTAGATAGATATCTGTAGACTGTTTGCGACGATAAACAACCATATACAACGTTGTTTCATTTTTTTATCAATCAACATGACGATATGTTGCCATGCCTTTTTTTTATAAACAAAAGGAAATGGCGGTGTATTTTTTCCTTCCCTTTTGTAATTTATAAACTAATAACAAAGCGGAGAGTAGGGGGCGGTTAAGAGCGCAGGAGACTCAAGACAGATTAAACCACAAATCCCGAAGATGTTAGTCGGAATTTGTTTTGCTTGACCACTCACAAAGAAGAAAAGAATATAACAGCAATGATGTAAACTAATTAGTTTTACAGAGAGCCAAATAAAACAAGATATTTAAAACAATCAGAATACTTTAACCAGTCAACTAACACACATGTTCAACAATAAAAATGTTCCAACACTGGAGTGCAAGTTAAAAAATATATTATTCAAAATTGCCGCACAATGGAATGATTAAAATGTAACCCCGCTACGGTTTTACAAATATTACAGCGCGTAATAGTCCCAAAAACACGTTCTTCATCTTTGTGTGTTCTTTGAGGTACCCATTCTCTGCGACCATGTTTTAGATACCCCCTTGAACAACTTGCACCAATAAAAGCAGACTTCACAATCATTTCGGGGAAATTTGCTAATGTGATTAGACTATAAACCTAAACTTAGATCGATTGCGGTCTTCTTCCAGTCAAGTCTCTAGGCGCAGCCGAGATGATCTCAGCTGCGGCCAGTACTGGACCGACATGAAGGAGTGCAGTTGGTGGTTTTCCACAAGAGGTTAAAATCCCATAAAAATGAAGAGAGTAACACCCAAACAACAACCAAAACAACTAAATATAAGGTAGATGCAAAAAAGGGTGCTACCCCATAAACTGATGATTAGGGCCCAATATCTCAGAATCTGTAAATCAGACGAAGGACTCACACACCTTAGTCTACTCTTCCACAGGAAAATGACGCACTGTTGATCAGAGTCAAAAATAGGAGGGCGCTGGTTGCCTATCAGCGGACACCAGAAAACCAACTTTGCGAGGGACCAACTTACTGATATAAAGAGAGTTTTGACAGGTTCCTTCAAATTGCATATGTCCAAGGGACCGTCAAATTTTAATGTTGGTGAAATCCACTCGAAATCTAGCTTTGACTCCTCGGATAACGACTTGATCGAATATCTGTCATTACCGTTCAAAACTGACCTCTGCCCTCCAAACATCGCATCCGCCATCGACGCCGCACGACAAGCTGTCTATCAGCCGCAGCGCCACGCCGCGTCTACGAGATTTTTCGGCGTCGTTTCCGTTGCGCGTCGCCGTTCGACCCCGATGCCCACCGTCGCGACGCTGCGATCAGTTTTGAAGGCGTCGTGACGCCGAACGGGCCTCCGGAATATTCGCCGGCGCCGCGTCGCGTGTTCGCGTGCACGTGCACACCGTCCTCCTCGGTTGACAGCTCGGTTGACAGTTCTTCGCGCGGACAGGTGCACGGTTACAGTGTATGTGTATCGAGTTTAGATACGGTGTCTGGGAATGAATTGATGACGAAGCCGGGATTACAGTTGCTAGATAGAGGCCAGTCATCTTGCTTCCGTTTGTCGTTCTATCTTCTCCATGTCGAAGAATCCCAATTAGGATAAAACAACGTTGTGCATGGTTGGTTGAGTAGACGAAATCAATCTTTAGCTTTCATTCGGAGAGCGAAAGGTCTGAGTATTGCGCGAAGAAGGGCTTGTTGAGGGCGTCTTCAAATAGTTGGATAGCTGGTGAGGGTTTCGTAGTAGATCCAGTTAGTTGATAGAAGCAGATTACCTGCTTCCATCCGTGGTTCCATCTCCTAATCCTAATCAGGTTGAAACGATGCTTTACTGCTAAAGAGGGTTTGTTGATAGCCTCTCCAATCGGTTGGAGAGTTGGTTTCTCCCGATAGTACATCAATACGAGCATCTTTTAGTTGCAAGAAGGTTAAGATTCAATCCCCAATGGCATACGCATAACCTTCCTGTCACCACTCCAGACTACATTATTTGCATGTCTCTTCTACCTTCCGCACTGGGAATAACCAGGGCCGAATGTTCTTGGACTGCTATCTTCCATCATTCTACCTACCTTTATTTGGAGGTCACCTGCCCCGTCGGGAGGCAGTGGTTTGTTCAGGGGTGCGGTTCTACAAGACAGAGATCTATCTCTTTTCTATCTGTGTCATTACTAAGCCTCCATATAGAGGGGGGTATAGATAGAGTACATCTCGAGAACTCGTATCATTCAAACAAGGACGTGTCTATCTACCAAGAAGAAAGGTATAGTAGATCTGATACTAAATGGTACAGTGAAAATACTCGAAAGGTGTGTAACTCTATGTAGGTGATTGGTACAGTATCAGTGTGTGTTCTGGCTTAAATGAGCCATCGAGATACTCGTTTCTACGTTAAAATCCAACTCACTCAACAACGAGAAAACGGTTTGAGGTAAAAAGTGCTACCTAGCCAGTACTACCTTTTCACGAGCATTGACAGAATCTTGTGATTTGTGATCGAACTCAATTTAGTACCTTTACCTGTATCTGAATCCCGTCTTTTCCAATCATGATATTCTCAGACACCGTCTTCTCTATTAGTTAAACTACATTCGATAGTAGTACCTTATCAACCTTAATTTGGAAAATGTAACACAACCTGTCCACAGTTCCACATCATTATGGCACAAGAGTAGGGACAACCAAATGGCTTAATACTAGTCAGTTTGGTTATGAATTATGACAGTTGTAATAGGTATTAGATTCTTGTAGTTTGTAGACGAACAGACTAATGGTCATTTTGGAATAAAGTCTTGTCTTTGTCCATTAAAATGTACTTCAAGATTACAACACGTTTAATATTCGTAACTTTGTTATGAATGTTTGTGAAGAACAACTGAAAGTAGGTTGAGTATTCATATCGAGAATATCAATCTTTTCATTATTTGTTGCATCTAGAATATCATGCATATACTGATGTAGGTACTGCTATTGAAGACGCCGACAGGAAGACAGGCTTACCTGAATAACTTGAACGAAATGCAGCCTAACTAACTAGCACTGTACATTGCGTTTGTGGCAAAATGTTGAGTTCCGATAACGCGATAGTAGAACATAGTGAAAAAGTAAAGTGTAAAGTGGAACACCCAGTCAAAGTTATGTGTAGTGAGACCGAATCCAGGGATGAACGGAGTTGATATTTTTCTATTTTGTCAAGGCCGCTGGGATACCTAATGAATACTGTAAGTAACAGACCTATACATAAATGCATACTTCCAGAAGCTATTTGTACATCAATACGATGCTTTAGGTATGTAAGACCAAAAGAGGCGCCTTCGCAACTTTAAGCTGATTTCTGTAAGATGAAGATAATAATCATATTAAACCATGAAATAAAGGGCCATCCGTTGGTATCTTTTTTAAATTGGTATTAAATTACACTCTTCAACAATATGTAGCACCTTCAGTTAACTTAATGGCTGCCGCGGCTGACCTGGCAGTAGTCAACCATCTTAACCCAACTCTGAAGCACATTTTCGATAGGTTGTTAATAACTCAACGGATATTTCGCTTAAGAACATCAATTGTTTGAGGATCGCTAGTGTAACAGCGGTCCTTAACATACCCCATAGGAAGTAATCCATGGGCGTCAAATCACAGCTGCGGGCAGGCCAGTCAACGTCTCCAAAACGGCTGATAACGCGATGACCGAACTTAGTGTGGATGGTGTGGCATATTGCGCCATCCTGCTGGAACCAGAGATTGCGCAAGTGCATGTCGTCTGATAGTGGCCAGAAAAAGCTACTCAACATGTATCTACAGCGTTCCCCGTTTACCGTCACGCTGTTGCCGTTTTCATCTTGAAAAAAGTAGGGACCAATAATCGCACCACTCCAAAAGCCTCACCAAACAGTTACTCTTTTTGGAAGCATTGTTTTTCTATGACGACATGTGGATTTTCAGAACCGAAACCCTACAGTTCTGCTTGGTAACGTAACCGCTCAGATGGAAATGGGCTTTGTCCAAAAAGATGATTTGGCGACCACAATTGACGTCCATTTCCGGTTGATTTAGAGCCCACATAGAGAAACGATATCGAAGCGGATGCACCTTGTAAGAAAATAATCCCAAGTTGATATTTGATCATATTTTTCGGGATCATTTACAAGTCGGCAACATGTAACTTGACTACGATTTCTTATTCCAGTATCCAAATATGGATAGTAAACCATTGAGCGATATGATGTTTTTGAAAACAAGAAAGATGTTTTCTCGCAGATTTATGTAATAGCCTTATTTGCAAATAAAACACTGAGAATAGCGTAGCACTGAGAAATTAGATAGTTAACGAGTTCAACAATTTGAGTCATCATCCATTATAATACCTAGGTTCTTCGATTGATCCACATGTACTATTTGATTACGTTTAGATTCATGTCTATGTCATATTTTAAAGTACCTACTCCTTTTTGTTTTATTTGCGTATATCAATATATACTAAGTGACATATAAATCCGAACACCCAGTTTAAATGGTTTTTATAAAAGTTGGTGAATGTATTTATCTTACTGTAAATAACCAGTGAAAAAATTTTCAGCCTTATCAGTTGGACATTCCGGTTGTTATACTGCTTTTTTTTAATTCACTAACGCTCTAAAAATGAATATTTCAGCCGCAGTAAAGAATCAACGTTGGCGGATTTTGGTTCTTGACGTCCTTTACGATCGGTTACGATGCCTAGAGTACGGAGACCTGTACGATTTCGTCAACTTAGTGAGTTTGATAGGGGCCGTATAGTGGGACTTCGGGAAGCTGGACTGTCTTTTCGGACAATTGCAGTTAGAGTGCAAAGAAGTGTAGACACTGTGGTTAGGTGTTGTCAGGCATGGCTTCGAGAAGGCCGAACACAAAGAGCAAGGGGCACTGGACGCCGCCGTAGAACAACAGACCGTGAAGATCGCCGCCTAAGATTATTGGCCTTAAGGGACCGTTTCTCCACTACCAGGTCCATTGCAAATGAATGGTTTGCAGAACACAGAAGACCTATTGGCATGCGAAGTGTTTACCGACGAATGAGAAGTTTGGCTCGTTTTCATACCGGCCACACTGGGTCCTCCCTTTAACTCGAGAACACCGACGTAATCGCCTTGAGTGGTACAGACAACGGTCACTCTGGGATCAGGAATGGAACAGTATTGTCTTTAGTGACGAGTCTCGATTTTGTTTAGGCATGCACGATGGTCGTGCCAGGGTTAGAAGGCGACGTGGTGAAAGGATTAATCCACAGTTTTTTGTTGAAAGACATGTTCATCACACTGTTGGAGTTATGGTTTGGGGTGCTATAGCTTATGGTTCCAGGTCACCTTTAATCTTCATCAGAGGTAACACGAACGCACAGCGTTATATCCACGAAATTCTAGAACCCCATCTTTTACCCTATCTTGACACCCTGGCAGATCCAACTTTCCAACAAGATAATGTCCGACCACATGTTGCAAGAGTCACAATAGACTTCTTTCAACATAATGATGTCACATTGTTACCATGGCCACCAAGATCTCCCGACTTATCCCCAATTGAGCACGTGTGGGATATGATGGGTAGGAGATTGCTCAATTTGCAACGACCTCCTCAGTCTCTAGAAGCACTTCGAGAGGAGTTGGTGGTTGCCTGGAATGAGATACCACAGAAGGACATGATCAGAAGCATGCATAGGCACGTTGGAGAATGCGTAGCACATCAGAGTGCATCCACACATTATTAAAGGTCATTTTTATCATTTACTTATTATGCTTCATTAAGTACTTATACAAAATTTTATTAAAATAAAACCATTTAAACTGGGTGTTCGGATTTATATGTCACTTAGTATATTTGCCTTGAAAAGGTTCAATCGGAAATTATGACTCCGACTAAACTTTCCATTTTGGGCAAGATCACAAATTGAATTATCGGCAAAAAATTGTATGATTCATGCTTTTACGTCTGAGATATATAACGAAAACAGTAGGGGTCCTAATACAGATCCCCGTGGTATACCAGAACAAATGTTTTGTGCGGTGAAGTACCGTTTTTCAAGGTACGTTTGAATGAAAGATAGAGGTTTTTCAGAAAATCAATAACAACTGCATTTGGACACAAGAAGTGAATGACTAATTGTGTCAAATGCCTCAGGAAAGTCAAGTATGAGAGCTACAGCTTTTTCGTTGTTAAGCGCTATTGTTATATTGTCTGTTGAATCACAGAGTGCCGAAGCTGTACGACCTTGTCGAAATCGAGACTGCTTAGAATATAAGTAGAAGCAGAGCTGCTTGAAAACAACGCGTTCTAATACTTTTCAGAAAATAGGCAGTACACTGATCGGTCTCAGTTGACCATAGTTACAAAGACCAGAACACTTAGGTAGCAGAACAACTACACCGTGTTTCCACTGATCTGGAAAATATCTCCTGTCTAAACAGCAGTGGATTATATGTGTTAAGTGCACATCAATTTCAGATATTCTAGTAGTATCATATGCAAAGTTATTCTAACTGAACCTCCAGACTTTATTTTATGAATGATTTTAACAACGGAAATATGCAATTTTGATGATCCAGACACAAATGGAACCAATCGAAAAGAAGAGAAATTAGCAATTACTGAGCGTTTGATTGAAAATAACAGTGTTTGCACTTATCCGAGGGAGACAATTTTGAAAATAAATATATTCAGGTTCAAATTCAAATTTGTTGCTGCCAATACACACATGGACTTGCACAGGTCAGAGGCATAAAAGACAAATCTCAACCAATCTAAAACAAAAACAGACTAAGGAATCAAACAACAAAATAAACGTTTTAAGATGTATGCCGGAGAAATTCATCAGTACTATAGAAAGCACCAGAATTAAGATACTTCTAACATTTTGTTTAAGTTTGTTAACAGGCATTAGATTACTTTTCAACCTGGTGTTGTGTTTGTGAACAACACTGCGCATTCTGAACAAAGCGAAGTTGTTCTTTATATAGAGAAGTCAGTTAATGATGTATTGGGAGCGCAATATTAAACCCCTTAGGTCCCCAAAAGCCTGCCTACAATCATAACTAAAACAGAATACCTTAATTATCCTTCCACTGAAGCCTATGAAATAATGCATAAGAGGCTTTTCTCAACACATATGCACTGAAGCATTCCGCTAGGCATCGAAACACATACAGTCCAGATCCAAGTTCTTTCACCACTTGGTTTATGTGGATATACCATGTAAGATGCGGGTCGATGTGTACCTCCAATTTAACAATTCGTTATGTCCATTAAGGTTAGGTCCAAGCTCTGCTTTTTCGCTTTATATGTTTGTAACAGATCAGTGAAGTTAGATCGCTGATTTTTGTAACGGCCAGAGTACCTTCGTTCAAATTAGCGAGAAATAGGGTATCTTGCCCATGTGTGTATTGAACTTTGCAAAAATTATCCACTCTTTTGGAATTTAGAAGACCTTTAAGACACGACATTGCAATATACAATATTATCTTTTGCAAATCCTATTAACATTGCCTAAGCGCTAACCATTATTTAAATGAGTTATTCATAATTCGATCCAATTCCCTCAGAGTGAGGTGTTTTTACCTTAGTGTCCATATCGGTTCTCAATCTGACTTGGCTATGAGCGAGACCACGCAGCGCAAAAGAAAAACCTTTGAATGTCGTCGGTTTAGAAACTTTCAATGGAATTGTAGCCGATGTAATTTTTTCCATTTTACTCCGGAATCTTTGTAACCATCTCGGACATTATGAACATGAAAAGGGACAGATTTCAATACCCTTGTCATGTAACATGCCTGAAATGGGAGAAAATATAAAATGGAAGAATAATTGAATTTCAGTTCGTCGTTGAACTTTTCCGTCGATAAAAAATGCCGTCAAGTAGGTTGACCCTAGAAATGAGTTTCGGATATGTACAATAGAAAAATTAAACGGATCAAGTCAGTCAAACAATACAATCAGTCCATAGACAAAACTTTCCCTGCTCTGATAGTAGTTGCCGTCCATCTGGCAACGTTGCCTCTTCCCATACTGTCAGACGCGGCAGTCCCCACCGAAGCACCATTGTAGTCGAGTAGAACAATAAAGCAGATCGTTACGCCGGGCGGTGAGCCCAGATAGCAGAAGGAGACGCGCATCAAACACATTTCTCTATCATAAATTTTAATAAACTTTGCCCATTCCAACTGGAGCATAGAGCCTGATACTAATTAAACTC